TATAAAACGATGGGAATGGTATGAAGCGGCAGCAGGGCTAAATGGATTTATGGTACATACATATAGCCGTTCAGCACACTCGACCATATTGCAACGTGCCGGCGTCTCATAGAAGTGGCTCGAGAGCACCGCATGCCACTTCTACTCACGTTCGTCGACTACAAGAAAGCGTTTGACTCAGTGGAACCAAAGAAAGTCTGGGAAGCATTAGAAGAGCAAGGAATTGAGAAGGTCTTCATAGACGTGCTCCGAGAATGCTATACCGGTGGTGTTTAGAATCCATTCGCCGCGCGATTGGAGCAACTTTTGATGGAACATGGACGGTACTCTTCTGAACCATCTACGATTCGCTGATGACGTTGTCCTGATTACCAGCACGCCAGAGGAAGCTTCGGAGATGCTAAATCGTCTGGACCAGCAAGGAAGTTCGTACGGTTTAACGATGAACACCTCAAAACGAAAGTCATGCGAAATCAATTCGCTGGAGGTGCAACCGTAATGCTGAAAGGGAACCCAATAGAGGACGTTGAGGAATACGTATACCTCGGCAGCCAGCTGAACATGAAGAATGATTTGAGTGGAGAGCTAGCGAGGCGCTGCAAGGCTGGATGGGCAGCATTCAACTCTATAAAGAGCGTCGTGGAAGATACAAAAGTCGCAAACTCCGTGCAGGACCTCAACAGTGCTGCCTGCCCTCAGTTACGCGGGAGAAACTTGGGCCCTAACGAAAGCGCACGAAAGACGGTTGAAAGTTACCCAGGCATCGATTGAGCGCCGCTTAGTAGGCCTGACGTTAAGCCGCAACGAGAATTAAAACTTCACAACTCAGGCGTCAGAGCCAAATCGAAGATAAAACACGTTGTACTCCATGTTGACGAAGCAAAGCATCGATTTGCCGGTCACGAAACAAAATTCATCTTCATGTAAAGAGGACGGCAACTCCGAGCGTGGATGAGAATGTGTTGCGATGCCTCCTTCTTGTGCTTTCAACATCCGTGTTTGGAAATGGTAGAAACACATCCAGCGATGGTTCAACCGATCTTAGTTGTATCGAGTGGTATGCCAAATTCAGTTTACTAAATGCCTGTCGCATCGATGTTCGTGTTGTCTGTGTTCTGAAGAACTATCGTGATCTAAAGAAAGGGCTTATGTTCCAAACGATCATTTAAGTTCTTTTTTAAATAGTTCAATCCATTTTCAAGCACTACTAGATTTTGGTGACCAATGGAACGTTCCAGTTAAGGCGGTCAATATTTTCTAGGTTTGCTGTTTGTTGGACTTTTAAGGAGGCAGGACTAGTGACGGCAAGGTGAATACTGATTGACGCGTGATGTACTATCGTTGATCTTAATGAGCTCTAATACGTGATTTCTCAAGTATTTCTGTTTTTATAGTATTCCCCTACTTCAAAAAACGTGTTATTCGACCAGCTGCCGTAAAATCTTTTATGCATGTTCCCCGTTTGTGTTTTCATCTTTTTTCATCAACGTTTTTTTTTCGTTTCTACTCGTAGTGTTCCTGCTGTTCTACCAATAGTTTGTTCACAAATTTCCCTGCACCTTTCTCCGTTCTCATGTCACGAATCGATTTTCCCCGTTTATTCCCCAGCAACGCTTTCAGTGTAAGTTGTCGCTACCATCAAAAAATATGCAATTAATCTCGGTATGCATTATGTTCAGGTGTTTGACATAGTCATAATTTGACATTGTAATAGATTTCCGTTTGAACGCTTATGAACGAAACTTCCGAACGTTGACGTAAGAACAGTGCTCTCTCGCTCGCTATCTGTATTGAGTCACGGTCGTGGCGCTGTTTGACGCACAGCGATTTTGTTATGCTATCGATTGCCAATCTTTTTTACGGTTTCATTTCTGATTATATATGTTTATATGCTTTGACAGGTATGCGTTCACCGTCATTCTTCTGATAATGATGGCTACGATAGCATCGTCGACCTCAACAATATATGAGAATATTTCTGATACTCAATCGACCAGCCATTTGGACGATCTAAAACTGGAGGATTCGGGAACGTATGATGCGGATTCAAGAAGTAACTCGAATGAGAAAGTGGGTCCTTATGGAACTCATTCATTTGATTTTTGGGGAAATCGATTGTCTCACATATTTACTCCATGCATTTGACTTCAAAGAACGTCTCATGTTTCACTCGAAGCACACCGCTATTCCCAAAACCTTTTTCCTTAGAGCCGTGAAGCGCTTTGGGTCTACAGACTGTCCCATTACTCAGCTGAGTACCCAATCACAATAAAGGTGGGCTTTTTCTCAAAATTCTCATGGTCTCCAGCGTGAACCTGAAATGAACAATGTTTCGAGTTTATTCCTTCGTTAAGTTGGAAAAAGGGTGGAGGGGAAGCGGACAAGAGGGCTTTCAAAAGCACTCTTAGTGCAAAAATGGGAACTTCCTGCATAAAATGGTTCGCGAACCTCGCTCTTAATATGGAACTCATATCCATTACGTTAATCCCAGTTTTGCACGAGTAATTCTTCAAATGCTTCCCTCCTAGCCGACTTGCGCTGAACTAGAGTAAATATTGTTGCGATCAAGATTAGGCGAGGTGGAGCATAAACAACAGTCCTCTTTTCTCAAAGAAAGAATAGAATGATAATAACTCGTTGACCATTAGTCCGATTATTGGCGTTACACATTTATTATGTTCATCTTCAAGGCTGCATCTAGAATTTCCGTCAGAGCTTTGAGCGTTTTGAACGACTAGGGAAGTGTAGATATTGATCTAGCGTCCAGGAGTGGGAAGTATGGGACGTAAGGGCAGGAGACTACTGGCTAAGCGGATCGGCTTGCAGATCACGAGTTGCTCGGAGTCACCAGAATTGTGCTCATCGCATCAGGATGATGACAAACATATATACACGAATATACGGGAAATGGAAGAGTTGAATCATCGTCCGTACCCGCCAGTGCCGGATGTTGCAGATGTTCCACGACGGAATCTGAATAACGGATGGATGGAGTACGAAACCGAGGCGGGAAGGTGAGCAGTCAACGTTTGAGGTTTTCTTGTATGATAAGAAAACCGCAGAGTCGGGATGGATGCATTTTCAGAACTTATTTTTACAACTTCGAAACTGGGAAGAGTCAGTGGATTCCTCCAAGATTCATTCGGACGCCAGCACAAGTTCAGGTACACCAGATTTGTGTTGCTTTCGCTTATGCAATTGCAGTCTTCAAATGAGTTGAGAGTAACAAACATGGGTGCGCCATTTAACATACGTTTTGCTTGATAAGATGCAACTAACCATAAAGCATTGCTCAGGGGATACGTTATTACCAAGGGACATTCTAATGCGTTGACAGACTGGTCTACTATTTCACGCGAACTAGCGATGAGGTATCTATCACTTTGAGAGGCTATCTTGGGAACCCTAAGGCACCCCGCTTACGTGCAACTCGTATAAATTCAGCCACCACAGTTTCTTTTTCCAAAGCCTACAGTGGAGTGAAGAGATTGGTTTGTGGGCGTTCATGTGAAGGATTAGTTTTCGGAGATACAGCTCTTTATTTGCAAACGACGAGGTGTGACATGAGTGGGGGGCATTTTTTTTACGAATTCCTTTGCGCTGTAGATCGAAATCCTGTTACCTAACCATCAAGTTCATTAAGTACGAAAGCGTTCCATGGTGCGGTTGATTAGGAACGAATGGAACCGTTCATCAGATGGTATTATTTGTGACCAATCGTTAGATATGGAGAACTCGTACAGCGGCAGTGCATGTGTTCCTTGTGAGGCTATAGCGTCTAGAAATGAGCAACAAGAAATGTGGGTGACAGTTTGAAGAATGGCCCCGGGTAAGGTGAAAACTTCTCATAAAATGCGAACCATTTCTGTACAAAGGATTAGGAATGGAACTGGTATCACTGCGATCCCTACGAACCCCCCCCCCCTCCCTCCTCTCCCCCCCCCCCTTGAGTCGAACTCCGCCCAGGAACAGTTGTGAATCCTTGACATTGTTCAATGTAAGTGATCATGTTGAGGCTTTATAACTTTTTGTGGTCCTGCGATGGCATCATTTATTCTAGGCCATGCTTCAAGCTACTCGTAACGAAGTCGACGAAAACTTCACGACTTGTTCTCTGAAGCGTGAAGACTCTCACTCAGCTGAAGAAGATTCCTCTCTGGACATATCATCGTCCCGTGCCGGGCAGTTCGATGAGGCGCCGGTGGAAACGATAGTTTCATTGGAAAGAAAACACAGCCTAGAACAAGTATTGTTTTTTGTCTTTCCTTTATACACAGGTTCACACGTTTCATTCCTAGTTTCCGAGGTAATTCCTATTGCGGCTCAATATTTTGTCAAAGGAATGTTGTTTTTCGCTCTAACAATAATCGGGCATGTATGCATAAGAAATATGGAATTGTCTGAATCAATATTGCAAATGGGATGTTTCGAAATATATACAGCATTCGAGCGGAAACGCCACTTTAATGGAACTCGGCCGACTGGCATTCCTCTGATACACGCCGTTGCATTCAATTTCATTTGCCCATTTGCCTCATTTTAATTTGCTTTCTTGGTGCTGTGGAACTGGGGAGATAAGGATAGTTGACCTCTTTCTTAGGCGCTGATGTCCTTACCATTTTAGAGAATCAGTTCTCTTGATCTCATGCTGAGCTGTGCGCCTTTAGGTTAAATGGATCCCATGAGTTGATTAAACAAAATTTTTCTTCCTCAGGAACGCTAGAACCAAGGCTCAGTGCGGAAGTTTCTGGAAATGTCATAGAAGCGTTGAAATATGTAAAGAGGTGTTTTTACGAAGCAAGACGCCTTTTTCAAGGAACAACATATGGACCCAGACGCCCACCGTGCCTGCTCCCCCCACCCAAATGTCCGACCGATGCTGATGTTGGTATCGCTTCATTTGCAATGTACAATTTGAAGCTAAGCGACTGATATGGAGCGGCTAGCGGCAGCACGATGCATGCGAAAAATTCTTCCGAAGTCGCTTTCTGGATCGTTTGGAGCATTGTCCCCACTATATAGCACCCCTGCTACCACTTTAGACTGGTAACAAATCATCCTTTATGTCTTTGAGTCGTTCATGGAGATGTTACCACAGTGAATGTTGACTAAAAGAAAAAAGTGGCTGGCGTTTGGTGGCTATTTGACTCTAATTTTAAGTAGAAGGTTGATATCGGAAAAGTTTTTAGAAAATTTTCTCTGTGTGCGGTATGGTTTACAACGCTTTAACAGTATATCTTCTGATCTGAGTTGCCGTTCTGTTCCCCTGATTTGTCTCCCTGACGTTTATCCTGAAAATCACCCGTTCGTATTTTAAGGACTTCAAAAATTCGCCGCCGTTGCACACCTATCACCACGCTACTTCGAGCAGTGACGACGCTGCGATGCTGTCATCATTTCATGCCCAAATGGGTCCGGATCCGTTGGGCTTGAGCCTAAAACAGGTATTCTGACAATTCAAGCCGTGATTCTCCCGCGGAATACAAACTATTCACTCTTTACTATATTTTGTCATGATTTCTCAGAGCACGAAGCAATGTCGGAATCACACCGCTGCAGCAACGACGGCGGAGAGATCTCATTCCTTCAACAAACGACACTGTTCTCTGAAGAATGTGCCGTTACCCCAGGTTCAGTATTTTTTTCGTTGATAAGATTGGAACGTTGCTATTCGCGGTAGTTATTTTTATCTTCTTCCACTTGGAATTAGTAATTTGGCAGTCACATCCGCGGGCTCATCACCTTGTTTCCTGGCCTAGGCGAGGCTGCTTTCCGATACTGTCTCCGCTTGCGATCTTAGAATAGATATCGAGTTCTGAGTGTAGTCAAGATTACCTGCATTGGAATCCATCGGAGCTAGACAAATATACACTTTTAATCTGTAGAGTGGGCCTAAGGGCTTGATATTAAATGATTTTATTAGGTTCGCGGGAAAGTTCTGTTATACTTTTTTGAACCCAAAATAATTGCCCATTACCTGAAGAGGGCTAACAGTTAATGTGAGCAATTATACATCAAGGAACGGTCTTTCTTTTAGTATCACTGCCTTGACTCCTGCTCCTCCTTATTCTGCAATATGACAAGGATGTCATCCGCTACCATCGGCACCGACTCCTTCAAACGCTCCCTCAAACTCTTTCTCCTACCACCCTGGCGCCATCATGACAGCTGTCGATGCCGAAATAATGGAGCTGCATAAGGACGATCTTCACATTATCAGACAATTTTCCACGACGCTAATGCCACAGAGCGGGAGGCTACAGTTTGAATGACGAAGTAAGATTTGGGGGAACTTGTGAACTCAGGAGGGGGCTGTGGGTCGGGAAACTGCTAGATGAAAAAGTTGCTTCCACGTTCAATCCGTACGCAAAGCAGCAACAAGGTCTGAAGCGAATCGTCGATCAGAGGGGAAATTTCGTCAGCACAGTCCGTCTTCAATGTGATGGTGCAGCCCGCTCCGTCCAAAACAACCTCCACGACTCGAGCCCGAGTCAAAATTGAGATGATGTCCAACTTTGTATCGCGCCTCTCTGCATTGTGAAGCGATGGCATCCACGACGTGCTCAAGAACTGGCAAGGATCCCGCAATGACATGCTGCATAATTTTGATCTTGTACGCCTCTCTATAAAAAGAAAGCCTAATTTGAACAAAAGTGACAGAACTTTCCCGTCAACTTAATAATTGCATTCTATTCTTACGCTTCTCCTTAGTGGAAATTCTAGTAAACTCCACGCTTTTTCCCTTGCGATTGATACTATTTTGTGATCTAAAAACCTTATCTTAGATGCCGATCATTACTCTCAAACTTATTTTTTTATTTGATAACTGCTGTTTACGCCCAGTGCGCGATACGAAAATTATCGCAAGAATGCTGAGTTGTGGGCAAAAGTCGGACCACGGGCGGGACTCGAACCCGCATCTTCTGCTTATCGGGCAGTTGCGTTACCACTTACGCTACCGGGCCACTTTTGACCTCTCAGCTCAGAAGTTCTAAAACTTGTAAAAAGCCTTCAGCCTTGCGGTTCACTGCGATATCGGCTAACCGGCTCATCACGTTGAACGTGTGAGTGCTCGAAGGCAAGGCACAAATAAGCCATTGAGCTGAGAGGTCAAAAGTGGCCCCGTAGCGTAAGTGGTAACGCAACTGCCGAATAAACAGAAGATGCTGTTCGAGTCCCGCCATGCGTCCGACTTTTGCCCACAACTCAGCATTCTTGTGATAACTTTATTTTTTTGGTTCTCCTAGAACAAACAAAAAAAAGAGGTTCTCTGACTCATGCAGCCTTTGTAGTCTTTTAGGAGATAAATGCATAGGGTATAAATGGTAAATTTAAAAACCAGAGCTTTTGAGCAGCCTTACGTTGAATGGCATCTGACGTGTTTCTTCTGACTTTTGTTCAGTTTCTCAGCTTTTTCTTTCGTGAACCTATAATGCCAACCCAGCGTTTGGCTTTGAGTGCCGCCGATCCGGTAGGAGTTCCCGACGTTAACAAGATTTTAAGGCGCATGGTACGCTCAAACACATTGAGGTGTATGAGACTATCAGCCCCCAGCTGTCGATGTGTCGGTTCCCCGCCAAACATGCCAGGAATGGAGATACAGGACCGTGAAACACGGCTAATTCCTCCATGCTCCGCCTTACACCTTTTTGCGGCGCAAATTCCCCTCCTTTATAACATCCGTCGTAAGCGCGCGTGTCGCGTGGCGGCTCCTTGGCACTTTGCCAAGTCTTCAATTGCGCTCTCAATATAGGGTGTCCACAAAGTTCGTTGGCCATTTGTAAACAGCGTCGCGTTACGCAACGCGTTGTGATTTTGCATAAAGATTTCGCAATACTGAAAGTACTCGCGATGGGCTATCTTCTGAGCTAGCTAGCTCCAAATTTCCTGTCCTGCTCTTCCCACAATAAAGCAGTGAGATGATGATAGTCACCACCACCGCCGATGTTTGCTGACTACTACAACCTGGGCATCTCCAGACGTCAGGCCACGACCAGGATGCGTCAGCAGTTTGGTAATAACACCCCTTCTAAGAACTGGATGTCAAAATGGTGGACTCGCCTCCACATGAAAACTATGGCATCGAAGATATGCCGAGGTTCCTGGTTCTCTTCGCCACGGCGTCGTCCACTACAGCATCCTACCCAACATGCCACAGTGACGGCAGAGACCCTCTCTTAAAGAACTGCAGGAGGACAAGGAGAAAGCTGCCGCCTTGTCCCAGAAACTTGCAAATCCGGTGCTGCTCTGAGACAACGCGCGCCCCACAAAGCGAGAGATACTCAAGCCGTCTGGACAGGCTGGGCATCGAGACGATCACGCATCCACCTATAGCCCGTACATTATCCATGCGATTACCACATCTTCCGGTCCATGCAAAATTTCTTGGACGGAAAACAGCTGAAGAACGAGCGCGACCTCGAGACGTGATCGAGGACTGGGCCGAGTCGCCGGCGGCCAGCTTTTGGGAGGATGGAGTTGCCTCTCTACCCGATCGTTGGCCGAAAGGTAGTGGGTATGCATGGAGATTATATCATGGACCGGTAAGTTCAACTTGGTGAGATATCTTTACCAGCTCTGAAAAAACGAATGGCCAACGAACTTTGTGGACACCATACAAGTAAAACGCAATTTCCTGATGCGGATAACATTGGCGGTGCTACAAAATAAGAACAGAAGATGATGACGAGGGCCAGAACTCAAGAGCAACTCGGCTGCATCTGCAGTATCCATCAGAGGCCGCGCACCACAAAGGAATAAAACAACTCAAGCATCCCACTCGTTTGTTCTAAGTATTAGTTTGTCCGGAAAGTTCTCAGCGTTTTGGGTGTTTCACTTTAAACGATCGTAACTTTTTTAATACTCATCGGATTTAATCGAAATAGGCACCATTCGAATCAAGCACACTTTTGCTAATGTGCAGCAGTCGAGAAATCCCATCAAAGAAAAATAACTGGGTGGTCGAAAATTTACGGAATCCACTAAGGCTTTTTGCCTGGTCCTGACTGATGAAGTCAAATCGTAAATCCAGAAAGGGAGTTCTGAAAATGTTAGAAAAGGTGATAGTCGGTTGGCGAAACGTCTGAAGAATATGACGTGAGACGTCTGAAGAATATACGTTGAGGTAAGCTTCAACCCCCAATTCGTTCATTTATGGATAGTGATTTGTGAAACGTTGGGCAGGCGTGTCATGCAAAGGAATCGGACCCTTTCTTTTGTTAAGTGTTGGCTGCATCTGACAAAATTTTCAGTACAATTCGTCGATTTTGCACAGTAAGGTTCTGCTGTGATGGTTTGGCCTAGTATAAAAAGTTATAGTGGATCACACCAGCCGATGACCACCAAGCCGTGACCAGAATCTTTTTTTCGTGAGGGTTCGGCTTTGAAAATTACCTCCATAATTCGTCGAAATCCAACCACTGCCGGAACGTCTTCCTGTGATCATATGATCATACAGACCCATTTTCATCAGAGTGACAATTCGGCCCAAAACAAACAGGTTGTTTCTGCTGCGCAAAAAGCAATGCAGAAGGAACCTCGAGAAGTCCGATTCCTGCCGTCACTCCGATTGTGGCGCACGCAATTTTCGAGTTTTTTTTTCCACCTTTCCAATGCTTTCTAGACCATCTGCAACAGTGGATTTCCCAATGCCTAATCTCTTCTGCTATCTCTCGAACTGTTAGGGATTGGTCACCTCCAAAATCCCCTAAAATCCTCGTCAGGTATTGCTTTAGGTCGACCGCTATGAGGTTCATCTTCAAGGCTGAAATCTCCAGAACGAAATTTGTTGAGCCATTGCCGCACAGTGCTTTCTCTAGCACTATTGGGCCCCCATACCTGGGTAATTTTGTTGAGTTATTTCGATTGCGGATTGCCCCATTTATAGTCGAGAAAAAAATCGTCCGAAGTGCTCTTTTTCACATGCTTGAAAAAATCTTGAGAAAGGGGGTTTATTAAGCAAGATGAAACGGCAATATATACCATCAGATAGCGCAAGAAATTCTCTACAGGATTTGCTACTGAGAAGCAAGGCAGAATGAGTTTTGAATCAGCAGTGAATGTACAAAAAATAGGTGCACAAAACGCTGAGAACTTTCGGACAACCTAATATTCTATTCTTGGGCCCGATTCGCGCCGGATCGGTGAGAAGTTACAGGCGATTAAACTAATTTGCCTTTCCTTGATTTTTTCATTTTTGTTTTATTTACATTTACATCGTTGTGCTTCATTTCTAGCCTGTGTCATCTTCATCTCCTTGTACATGGATTTTGAAGCTTGAGCAATACCTCAAATTTTATTCGCATCAGGAAAACCGCTGTTTCTTATACAAACTAACAAGTATGCCGTTTTATTTTCATGTTTCGTGGAAATACGTGGCCTCCGAGGATGTTGCAGAAGTGGCCACAGTTGCTTTTGAGTTCTGACCATCGTCATCATCTTCTGTTTTTATTTTGCAGCACCTCCAATGTTATCCGATCAGGAAATCGTGTATTTACTTGTATTTGAAAGCGCAGTTAAAGGACTTGGCAAGTGCCAAGGAGCCGCACGCGACACGCGCGCTTACACGGATGTTATGAAGGACGGAATCTGCGCCGCAAAAAGGTGTAAGGCGGAGCATGGAGGAATTAGCGTGTTTCTCGGTCCTGTATCTCCATTCCTGGGCATGTTTGGGCGGGGGGGACCACGACACATCGACAGCTGGGGGCTGATAATCTCATACACCCTCAGTGTGTTTGAGCGTACTATGTGTCTCAAGGGTTTCACAAAATAAAGAGTTATTTTTGCTGCCTAATTATCTTGTAGAGATCGCATTGATGCTCTTGATTAGCAGAAAGTGAACTTTTCTTCTATCAATCCGAGCGCAGCACTTGGTATGCATTTCAAGTCATATTTCCTGTCGAGGGCATCTTCATCAAAAACCTGAACGCAAACGCAAGCCAAACACTCCACTTTTCTCATTCATTTGGTTTTTCTTTTTCCCCACTTATTTTTTTCCACTTAAATAAATAAATGAATAAATTCTCAGTGAATACCCACCATCCAAGAAACCCATGCATGACCCTACAGTCTCCTTCGCAACCAAATACTAATCCCATGGTGTGTACTCCATAACAGTGCTATACAACGATGATCAGATATTAGAGAGGTTTTGTAGTTTTCAGAAGTCAGACTGTTCGCCAAGATATCACTTGGTTCAAGTACAAACGACGAGGGTTCAATGACTTTCCTTCTGGGAATTCCCACCATTCATTCACTATATTTATTTTTGGAATCTAGGTTCTACCATCAACTAGCTCTGGGAACTTGTTTTATGGAGACAGCGGAACACATTCATTAGATCGCGTGCATCCGAAGCCTGAACGAGAGCCTACTTCTGTTTATGGTGAGTCTACTACTGTGAGATTTTCACGTTTGAAATCGTTCTAATTCAATCCGTCACATAATTTATATAACGGTTGTAATCTAGCCCTTGAGAACTTACCGTGCAGTGGTCGTCTCCTTGCCATATTTTATAAATTTAAACGTTTTTTATTCGCTGGGCATTGATGTACCTTTTAAGATGTGCCAAGTGAACGCCGTGGTAGCAGCGGCACTTATGCTGAATCGCGTGAGTCAGTGAAAACAATCAGATGTGGAAATTTGGAATTCGTCGAGTCGGCTGAGCAGGTAACTGTTTGCTCCTAAATGAATCGCACTTATCAGTATAAAATCTTGAGTGTATGGAAATAAATAAATAATTATATACTCTTGCACTTTATACTTCCTAAGAATTAAGAATTATTGTTTTTAGTTTACCTTTGCATTATTTGTTGAGTGTTTTGTGCGCTCTCATTTGCTTCAAAAGAAGTGCATGATGTGGAGTATTCAGGTTTTTTTTAATAGCAATACGAAAATTTTATTTTCAGATTAGATCCAGAAAACGCGACTGGATGGTAAATTTCATGTACTTGACGTCTGCGCATTTGATACTGTATAAGGACGAGAAGAGCGCGGAGGCGAGTAGGAATAATTCCTTAGTGGTTCATTCCGTTAGTGACTGATGTACTCTTTCGTTTTAAGCGCCATTCTACTATGTTTAATTCTGCTACTTTTTACCCTTCGATGTTTTTTTTACGAACACATTCCTTTTTTCTAATGTTATGAGTTGAGTGTTGAACTTAGAGTGCGAGGTTTACCAGTAACAACGGCTCTGTTCACTTCTTATTTCAGAAACACGGTAACCACTACGCGGCTCCACGTGGGGTATGTGATTTGAAAGGTGCGAGCGTCAGTTGGCTTGTTATGGATAAGGAGAAGAGAAAAAGGAAAATCATACAGGTAGGAATCGCCACGATAAGCCCAATTAATTACTTACCTAAAGTCCAAACCTCTTTGTTGTAGCGCTTCCCATATGACATAAATCGCACGCATACATAAAACACCACTTCCCTTCGAAAAAGACATATTTATATACAGTCCATGCTTATTTCGTGCTATAGAGAGCCTGCTGGTAAGGCGAAGTATAGTGGTAGAGGCTTCTGATGTCCTTTGTACGGGAAGAGGTGTTTTACGAGGGCTTTATTGGGCTCCATTTTAGTCTATCGGCAAATTGATTTAAACTGATTGAAACATATTGAGTACGGTATAAGATGTGGTTGATGAAACGAAATGGCAGGTAATATTTCGAGGCGTCCCCATTGGAAAGATTAGTAGTATTAGTTGTGGCAAAAACCTCAAGATGATGATGATTTCTCGTTTCGTTCAGCTTGAACTTTGCAACGGCTGTCGGTATTTGTTCCGTTCGGCAAATGACATGGAAACGCAGGAATGGTTTGATGCGTTGCGGGATGTGATTGCTCGGCTGGTGAGTGAAACATTTGAATAATTGATTCAGGCATTATTACATTTGATATTTCCTTCTATGAACAGTAAAAATGGGTGTTTACGAGGAATAATTGCGGGAGAAAAGAAACCGATGTGCATTTTTCACCTTTGGTTTTTTCCTTTTTGTTTCACTTGTCGGCGGCGCATATTGGAGTTGCTGAAGTTCTGAGTTGTCGGTGGCGTAGTCTCTAACTCACAAATGCGATTTTCAGGTGGAAAGTAGTTTTTCTCGCGTTTAGCTTTACAACCATTTTGCTGAGCAGCCAACTCCCCAATGCCTATTTCCTTCACGCATGCATTTATCAGAAGCGTTGAGGAATTGACTTCTGATGAGTCTGACCATCATTCACCTTTGTTTTAGTTCCTTTCTTGACAACCTCTCTCTCTCATCATTGCTCAGTCTACTCCTTTCAACTGAAATCTTATCTCTAGCTACTACGCTCCAGGAGCTCTATTAGTGCAGCATCATTCTGCAGTTTTTAATTGTGGGGGTTAAGCACATTGCTTGGCGCCACGATAGAGCACTGTTGACAACCTGACAACCCTTGATAGGTTTTATTGGCATTATTAGTCTGACGGGAACTTTCGCTGCCTGTTCATTCTCCAAAGAGTGCTGAAGAAATCGAATCACGGATCGAAATGCAAAAACGTGAACGCGAAGGAAAAATGCTGGGAAAGCGAGAACTGGGCATTATGAGCCCTGAAAATACGACGACTTAAAAAGTGGTTGACAGAAACGCAGTTTGCGAGAGGACTTCCAGAACAGTTCTAGAATGAAGTGAGCGCATTTATCGAGCTCTAGTAGCGAAATAATGACCATAATCCCCTTCAATTGAGGCACATTTGCTCACTTCAGTGTTGAGAACGAGTTTCTTACGAGGCAATTGATCGGCAGCGCCGGCTGTCGTACCTCACCAGTTTCTCTGGATATATGCCTTTAAGAGTGCCAAACAGAACCCATCTGTTCTCTCGATACCATCTCAGTTTTCATGAACTAAAGAATTTTGAAGAATCTTCATTTGCCCTACATGGATCACTCCACTCCACCACCGATTCCGGCTCGAAGAACGTTGGGACAGTTTCAGCGGAGCTATTCAGCTCCTCTCGAAAGGCGCTCTCAGGCATGTTCATCTTCCTCCCTAGACTGTGATCGCATTTATTGAGTAAACATCTCAAAATAGTGCTGTCCCGGAGCCTCATTGCAGTCTGAATGTTGAACACATAAAAGAGGCGCCCAAAATTTATTGCGAAAGACTCAAAAGATTCGAAAGAATCCAAAAGTTTTCACAAAAATTTTTTATATTGTTTATAATCTTTCTTCTTCGAATATTTTGGTGCCTAGCACCTTCTTCAGCGACCTGAAATACTACAGTTAGCCACCTCCACCGGAATCCTGAAAAGATTATAAACAATATAAAAATTTTTGTGAAAACTTTTGGATTCTTTTGAATCTTTTGAGTCTTTCGCAATAAATTTTGGGCGCCTCTTTTATGTGTTCAACATTGAGTAAACATCCTTTGTTACTTACCAGTCAGATCGCGCGCCGAGCTCTCCTCCTTCTTTGTAGCTGGCCTGGCTTCACAGGCGCACGTCATAATATGAATGGAATTTGTTCATTCACTGAGATGCTCATATTGCGCTGTAGTGATCGAATAGTAACAGACAGAATAGCCCAGCAGAGTCTGCATTCCTGAGCCTACGCTTATAGTTGCAGAAGGGGTTATGGGTTGGGCCAGGCCCACATTCTGTACATAGGTCTGTAGATATAGGCAGAAAGTACAGTCGCTCAACACAGCGCAATATGGATCGCTCAGTAAAACCACAAATGTCGCTTACATTACCTGCATCGGAACGCATAGCGATCAGAATTTACCTTTTCTTTTACCATGCAATCCATTCGATTATGTAGCATAAAGACTGTAAATGCTAATATTTGGGATACGTAAGTTAGTGTACATTTTTCATACTCCCGTATTAGTTTTCATTAGTAATCAAAAGTTTGAAAGTGAAATGGTGATATTACATTGAAAACATTGCCTCAATCGATACCACGACACGACTGGTTCGCAACTCTGCTAGTGGTTGATTCTTCCCTCGTCTTATCGCTTTCAATGGTGAATCTGTTCCCACCGTTGTGGTAAGCCCCCGGTGAAGCGCACTCAGGCAGCGTTCATACTTCGCTACTGCAGCGGCGATCGCCGCGATCGTCGGTACATGGCAGAGCGCACCCCAACGCTATTACTTGCTCTTTAAAGGCTTTTGGGAAGAAGGGACTTAATTTCATGCTTTTTTCCTTTACCTGCAATTTTCTTAGACACTGATGCTTGGTTTGACACAAAGAAAGGTGAAACCAATTTACTGGTTTTTGTTTTCTATTTTCTTTCTTGATTCAGGATAGAAATGAGCAAAAAGCGTGAAAACTTCGTTTACGGTAGTCTTTATTGTTTCTTTTTTTATTCGTCGAGCTTATACATTAGGTTATAACGTTTCCATCTGTTGATGTTGCTTAAAATGATTAGTGTTTTGATTCCTATGTGAGTTTCTTTGTGTTTCTTTTCTTTTCTTCGTTGTTTGAACTCGACTTGTAAACTATAAATGTTTTGGAAGTTGGAACAGTTTAGACGATAGGGACTTTTAAGGCGTTTGCATAAATTGAAACAATAAAATCAAAAGAAACAAAAATAAGCTCACCCAGGAAATGGAGTTGGCCTTATCCCGACCTAAAAATAAATGAACCTGCTCACTTCATATTTCAGATCCGCTTATGTATAGAAAGTCGTAAATTATCAGTTAGTAGCCATTATTAAGAGAAAAGAAGGTCTCACAAGTTGGATTTTCTTATTTATCAAGCGATCAGTCCATAAGAGCATTGGGGCGCGCTCTGCCACGTACCGACGATCGCGGCGATCGCCGCTGCTGTCGCGAAGTATGAACGCTGCCTTAGCGTTTCACGCTCGTACCGCCACCAACCCCCTCGCTGCTCCAATCCCTGGAAATGCCAAACAAGCGAAAACATTAGGAGTTGGTTCGAATCTCACTGTGACAATGTGTTCGTACTGGATAATTTGTCAAAAAAAAACAGGTCTCATAACCCCCCAATTTAGTGTGCAGAAAATGAACTTTTTTACCTTTAGAATTAATTGTAAACTTGCAGACTCGATTTAACTCCATGTGAGCCCCCGGAATGCGCCAAAAGCAGGTGTTAAAATCGTGAACAGAAACATCGATTGTCCCTCCGAAATAGGTTTTAGCCAAGAGATTTGCGACCTTCAGCGGATCTGGAAGGGAATAGACCACAAATGTACGGGGGGGGGGGCAATTAAAAAAGTCACTTCGACTGAGTCATATATCAGCAAAGTTTTCATTGCCCATACAGAGGAAGTGGATACGAGTACCAGGGCGGAAGATACCCAAGATGTTCCTCGATAAGCACGGGTTGATGTCGCCCATCACCTTCATGTACACCAAAATATGAAGTCATCTCCAGTCGCAGCCTTACTGGAGAAGACCTTGGAAATTCACGTCACCTCCAAACAGCTGCGAAACTTCTAGTATGAAGTCACTCATGATTAGCTACCTGGAGACCAGTACTCTCGATCTGGATGACCTCCAACATCGAGCAGCTCCGACAACGTCGCCACGGTCTGGGACATCATCTTCACCGCAGTCGCCAAGGCGCGGGTGATGGTATGGATCTGAGTACCTGGATTGAAAAGACCAATATTTTCTTCGTGAACCCCGGACTGAAGGTGAGCGCTGGCGCTTACATTGAGCAACTTGTGAAGAATATCCTCCTCACATATCGTCGCCCGTACCTTATTGGAAACGTTGTACTGCTACAGCATTGGGTGCCACCATATGGAATCGAAGGGCGTTGGAGAAACTCTCGCCTACTTGGAATGGAAGGAGGCTGAGTGCCTGAAGAAAAAAGTATATCCCAGTAGGTCACCTGACCTGAATCCCCTCAATTAGCCGGTTCGGGCGGAGTTCAATAGGGTGTCTACGGTGGCGGAGAAATCGACTATCTCCCTGATCTCAGGAACCACATCGCGGTCGCGTGCCAGAATTTCTCGATGGCGCTTGTCCAGAAGGCTGTGGCGGAGTGTCATGATAGTATTCAACATGGTCTTTAATACGGTGCTAAAAATCTCCGATCAGAATTTTGTGAAGTGTAACTTATAGCGCCTCGAAAGTCAATGAAGAAAAGTGACTTTTTGCCCCCACCCCCTGCGTATATATATATATATATTATAATATATATATATATATAGTGATCAGCACACTAACCAGATTAACATAAAAAAAAATATGTTATCTGTGAGGCTGGCATATTTCATATTTGTGGAATATGCGAGCCTTACAGATAACATTCTTCATTTGTGAAATTTGTTTTTGAAAGTTTTTGTTGTGAGATTATTTTTTTGTGTTCTCCTTTTTCTGTCTTTGAAAGCATTCAATCTTTTCTTGAAGCATAAATTCTATTTCTAAAATTTTTGATCATTAAGTGAATTCACTGATGATTGAAATTTTCCACATCAACATGTTTGCTATTGCAGCGAGCTTTTTTGCGATAAATCAATAAATTTTTACGATTAATAAATCGCTATTTCGATGGTTTATAGCTCCGATGTTGACCTTAAGTTTGCTCTCAATGTTGACTCATTCAGCCTTCCGCAGTCCCATGTTCTGGCCTTCCAATTCAGCCAGCTGTGCTCGACTCTTCTTGTGCTGTCGTTCGGAATCCGTCTACGCTGTCCAGTAGGCCTCATTCGACGACAATAATCAATAAGTGAGTGTTTTTAAACCTTCCTCCACAATTTTAGGGTTAATTGTATAACGAAATATTTTAATCTTTTTTTAAAACACTTTGCGACAAGGCGCCTTTTCGCGTGTCTGCCGCGTGGGACGAAGCAATTTTTCCCTATTTGTGAGGAATGCGCATGAATGCTAGGGCGTTTACACACCAAAACACTTGCAGAAGGACCAGTATTCAATGCAGAAGCTAGTGAAACTTTGCTGTTTCTTTTACTTTCAAGGTGAACCCTTAATTTTCGTGGAATACTCCCGCCCCATACACGCGGAGCGTGGGAAAGAGGTCGCAAAAAAGGAATTTTTTGGAGCCAGAGGCAGTAAATTGGATTCGATCCAGATCTGCTATTGTAGAAAGTTACCTTATCACGTTAGCTATCTACATGTGGAGCTTGAGTTCTATTTATCCAAAAATTACCTTTTTTATCTAAAGAAATCACTTTTCTTTGTATCCCCCGTAAAATACTTTCAATTACACAACTGCACGGTTTACAGCTACTGTATATTCTACAATGCCTCCCTCTACAATATGTAGCTGTTGAAAATTTGAAACGTTTTTAAATGGTTTTTTACCCATGTCGCATCCCAGCAGTGGGACGCAATGTCCCACGCGGCAAAGAAGGTGTGTCCCAGCAGTGGGACGCAATGTCGCCAACGTGTTAAAGTAGAGCGCAGGCAGCAGAGAAGCTAACGGAATTTTGGTTCTTACACTCGCTCCCTGATGTTCATAGCTCGCGACGCTTGCGATTGCGTGATTGGTGAAGTGGTGGCGCAATCAGGTTGGGTTGCGCTCTAAACTTGCAGCTAAAGCGATGAGGGTTCCAAGTATCGCCCTAAATTGGAGGCTTACCTGTGCGGCGAACCTGAGCGCTACCCAACCATTGCAACTGAATGTGGGAGATGTAATACACCAAGTAAAGGTTTTGGATTTATTACTGAAAGAAGAGAAAGCGGAAAAATGTACTAAGAGTAAATTTTTTTCATTTCTTCGAGGTGTGTTGGTTTTGCTTTGAGCCATTCCCAAGAAAGAAATTGAAGTTTTGCCCGAAAGTGCCGGCTATTTTGGCGCAATATTTATAAGCACAGCCTAAGCGTAAAACTACTATTCCATTGGAGGGATGACGTAATCATTTCTGAATTGGAAATAGCTATAAGTTTCAGCCGACGCATTGTACATACGCCTTCATCACGCGTCGATCCAATGGCCCATTCGTCTATTGAGTGCACCACAACTGCTCCATCGGTTACAAATTGTGTTGTGGAAGAACCGCGACCATCAAGAGAGTCGATACTAGAGAAACTTATCCGATTCTTCCGAAATCGTCCTAGTGTCGATTCTCTCAAAGAGAAAGGAATTTATAAGCGTGAGTCTATCTCTGTCTTTAGAGGGAAACTTCGGTTCATGTTCTCTAGTTTCGGAAGTATTCTTCAGATGAACCTGTATTCGGCAGCACATTATCGGCTATATGCCAGTTGGAAAATAGCCTAGTGCCGAAGTTTATTCGTGTAGTCACAGAATTGATTGAGAGCAGAGGAATGGAGGTCGATGGGCTGTACAGGTTAGAGTTCCAATGAGGGAAATCTTTTCTAGGCGGTACTTTGCGATTTTGTTGCGATTTTAGTTTTTTTTTCCATGAGGGGTCTGTCCAGTAGTTTGGCCTCCTTCTCTTTTGATAATTTTTATGTTTCAGAGTGAGTGGGAACTTGTCAGCGGTGCAACGAATTCGTTGTCAAGTGGATCAAGGTAAGGGATATTAAATATTCCTTTGTCATTGACCATCTCAAGAAAGGGGGGAGACATTTAGATAATGCTGGCCAACATATTGTGTAGCGCCCCGTATACTATCGATGGGCTGTTTCGTTGAGACGTGTGAGCTCTTAGGAATGGTATCCGTTTCGTTTGCAATTTGCACCCGTTTGATTGCACCTAATGCGGGAACTGTTGCGGGGAAGCACTTGGAGGACTTTTTTTGCAGATAAGCTATTAATATGAACCAGGAAGCAGCAGAACCCTTCAAAATGGTCCACCAAGCATAGGCCTCCCCTTTACGCTGTGGAAAGAGTGCTCATTTCCATCGCAGAAATCCCAAATTTACTCGTGTATTCCTTTTAATGCCCACTCCCTCTCAAAGGTTATTTGCGTGGGAAAATATGACGAGTGGAACTTGTGAATGTGGTTTCAATGATCGAATGGAAGTTCTAAAATTTCGAAGCTCAACAGGAGCTTACAAGAGTGTACCACCTTTCCCCAAGCAACATACTGCAAATTCTTTGTTGCAGGGTTAGAACCTCTATCATTTATTTCAGATAAATTCAATGCACTGGTAAATGAAGAAGACGTTCATGTATTGACAGGCGCACTAAAGTTATTTTTTCGTGAACTTGCAGAGCCAGTGTTTCCACCTTCAATGACAAAAGACTATCTGAACGCCATTAGTGAGTAATTTGTTCATAAGGGGTTTTTAGTGAAGGATTTGTTGATCTCAGTTTATGACACATGAAAGATGCCTGGTGTTACAAACTCGACTAAATAAGGACCTACCCGATCTCAGAGATTACGAGTATACCTCAAGCGAAGGCGGACACTTGCATAGTCGGGAACGGACCTACTAGATATTGTCAGGTTGAAGAATATTTTTGACAGAAGTGATAAATGAGGAGGGGGGGGAGCCTAATTGTCTACAGTATGTCGTAATTGTGTCAATTATCGCCCTTTTTTGACAGAGTGGCTCGAAGGTTCGCCTGATTAATGAAGGTGCAGTTCTATTTCCTTTACGCTCCCTTTGATTGGCGGGTTGATCATAACACGTTGACGACAATCGCGTTTTGCGGGAAAGCGCCGCGTGGGACAATGGCGTGTTTTCGCATGCGTCCACTTCGAGCCACCGATGGCTCATATTGTTCCTCGTGGACCACTTTTTTTGCCGCTATGTCAAATTTCGCAAGATGATTAGCCAATCGTGCGGGACTGCTATTTCAACCATTCTTGACCCCACAGGATGCCATCTCATGCCCCGCCCTCTGCGATCACGTCCACTTTTTGGCGCGATCGTGATTTCCAAAATGCCCAGTGGAGCCTGATGGCGCAAACACTAGAAGGCAACGATATATTCGTGACAAGATGTCAGATAACCTAGCTATGGAGGTTTCTATCGCATTCGGTGCCAAAGAGACTGCTAGCGCCAAAATGGCGCCTACTGGCGCCATATGGCGTTCACGACAAATAAGATCTGGCGCCATATGGCGCCAACGACACGATCTCATTTTCATGATCCAAGCCCGCGCAGTCCCTGAAGCCAAGGTTTCGTCCAAAAAGAACTGTTTTGGAGGTATATGCCGCAGCAGTAGCTAGTTGAAAATTTCAATTTTTAATTCAAAATATCCCAGCAAAATTTTTCTTGCTCATCCCTGTTGGACATTCACCACACATTTTTCGAAAGCAATAAAAAGATCGATTGAGACTGCCGGCAATAACCCGAAAAGTGATGGAGAAAGTTGGCCACCGGTGGCTCAAATTGTCCCACGTGGCCACTCACTTATGAGCTACCGGTGGCTCAGAACGTGTTGAACATATTCGTTGCAAGTGCTATAAGTTGTGAATTTTGGAGAAGTTCAGAGTCGTACTTTTTTCCATTTATGACCACAATTTAAGAGCTGCAAAATCCGAGGCAGCGTTTCAAACGGTTCGACGAGCTCCTCCGAATGTTACCGGCAGAAAATCGGGAAACCCTAAAAATGTTGCTACGGCATCTGCAAAGGTGAGACTAATTTTCAGCTTTAAAGAATTTTTGTGTGCAAGATGGCAGAGTCTGCAAACGCAGAGGATGTCCCGGTTTCGCAAGTCGGGAGCGCTAGATAAAAGCAGGACGGTCAGAGACGATAGCCGGACTCCGCCTTAGCAGTCTGGATCCTCAATTATTCCGTTTTACTATTGCTATATAGAAAGGGGCTCTCGAACATCCGTATCTTCTGTAGCCATATCAAGGGCTGATTCTTTTTTTCTTCACCAAGTCTCTCTGGTGAGGCGCTGAGAGCCAACATGATTCTAAGTTACTTTGGCTTTTTCTTCATTAGTATTCCGCTTAACAGCTGTTTATTTATTTCTTTGATGCATGCATATAAGATACGAATCACTTATAACATGGCATTATCTGAGCACTCGGCAAGAACATGTAACTGAAACCAATGAATAAACCATATAAAACTGAAACAAGTGGAAGGGACTAAAAACTATGTTTATTAATTACTGTTAAAAGAAAGTTAATATCAGCAAAAGCAAGTTAATGTCCATTGTGGTTTTTGGCTATGGACGAACTTATCCGCAAACCGCAAGGTACGGGTTAGGGTCCTCCCTTAATAAGTCCCTTGCCCATGTTCAGCATTCCTGTGATGACTTTCGGTGCGCATAGTGTTGCCTTATACAATAGCTATGGTAATGAAATTTAAAATTTGTTCAGTAGTTCTGAGCTGTAATTTTCAATGCCAACGCTCCAGGGTAGCTTCACATTCGGACAAGAACCGAATGCAAGTGCACAATCTTGCCATAATGTTTGGTCCGACGTTGTTCAATAGCGGAGATGAAAAGACACCGGCAAAGAAAAAGGACGCTGGAAGAAAGAAGAAGGACCACAAGAAGGTAAAACTATTTTGTATAATGTTAGTAAAATAACGTTCTGAGCTCGGAGGACGACTGCAGAAAGGCTCTTTCATGTGAACTTTGTTGACAAGTTTTTACTGTTCCATCAACTTCCGACCAGGTCCACTCCTTGTCAGTTATGAGCTCTTTGAGATTTACCCATTTCCTGTCACTCCTAATGGAGCTCACTGTGAGTTATAGTGGAGAACTGAAAAGCTACTCTCATGGTAGGTATTATGAAACGTATAAGACGTTTTATTAGGATTTATCATTACTATTATTATACATTATCATTACACATCAAAAATTACACAGCACTGGTGTGATGAGAGCCCGTCGCTATTTGCGTCAACACATTGACAGTTAGTACTTAACGCAGTAGATTTGCGGTCCGAGGCATAGCCTACCATGCGCCCGTGGTTCAAATAGCTCATACGCGATCGACTTCCTGGGCCTTCCTCCCCTCACTACCCCTCATAGTAGGTTGTGGTTTTCAAATCAAACGCGTCTGTTCATTTCAAGTAGATGTATGTTGTGCCGTTTTCCTGTGTCAGCAGCGATTTCTGAATATTTCTAGGACGAAACGCCAACGGTGCAGTCGAATTCGCACTTGGCCTTCAATATGATTATGCAAGGACAAATCGTAGAATACCTGCTCATAGAGCACAGCAAATTCGAAGCGTTGCAGGGTCCAGTGCAGACCCATCCACATTGAACATTCCGGCAACTTTAGCAGGTTTTGCAGCTTTTCCGCTCATATTCAGGACTGTGTTATGTTTAGTACACGGCTTTGCAGCTTATCATCGTAGAATTGTTGATAGGTGGATTAAGTAGATATGTTCTTTTGCTGTACTTCTTTTCACGTTGAAAATCTTTTGTGGTATCCATGTGTTTTTGACATTCATTCCTCTTCCTTTATTGCGATATACATGTTTGGGCTATTCACTTTGGGCTTTGTCACGTTACACATCTCTATTTGTACTTGTCGAACGTTCCTTTCACTTATTGCATAACGGTTTTTGAAGGAGCAGTTGGTGTAGTTCGCGATTTCTTCAAGCATCTTTGACCTCAAAACTCACTTTACGCATGCGAGCCTAGAAAGGAAGAAGATGAAAATTCCATTATGTGCTCTGCAGACGCTGGAGGCGTGCCAAAGTGGTGAGTTGCACGAGAGCACCAAACCAGCCCTCAGACACGCTCCAGCGTATCGAGCGAAAACGACTGTAGTTCTTGTCGAACTGACTGCTGCTCTTTTTCAGCAGGAATTTGGAAATCTTAGCTCTTGCAGCAAGACAAACTATGGGGCGGGGAAAAGCCTTATTTCGCCTGCCTTATCATTTCCAAGATCGTATTCCTGCGGCTCACTTTCTCTGACTTGCGGATTCCACGTCTTTTGCACTGAAGACCCCTTCGAAAAGTGCTTGGCTTTGGCGACACTATCTCTATGTAAGCCTGCATATTATGAATATTGCTATGGGTCCTGACGAATTGATGGGAAATGTCACAGATGTAGAAGCACTACTATGTATAAACCAACCTAGACGCTCTGCCACTGCTTCTGAGCTATACTGAAAACTCGTCCATGTTTGTACGAGTCTTCCCTGCTTCACATATGGACTCTTCTGATAGAGCAGTCTATTTGTTTACAGGTTTTGTGCTAGTTTTCCGCGTTGTCTATCGTGGTTAGATCTCGTTTGAGGTATGAACTTATTGACTTTTGATTTTCGGTGTTTTATTATCTCCTTCACGTGTTTCTTTTCAAATACTTACACCTGCATCTGACAGCCGTTAGTATTGTGATGTTATCAGAATGTTGTGAAGCGATTTTCTGTGACATTGGACTACATGGTAGCGCACGAATGTCCAGATGATTGTATCTCCGTGTCTGAACTAATTAGCAGCGTGCCTTAGGCCAGCGACCATAATTCCTTTGTTATTTTTCTTTAGTGTTTGATACGTTCGTAACGTGTACAGATGATAGACTATTATTGAATGGATTTATTGAGTGATTCATCATCCTCGTTTTATTTATTCTTATCGTGCAATTTACTGTCAACTCGTTGGATTATACGGATTTCAGTCGAGAATCGCGTGCATGTCATCCTATTCTTTGCGCTGACAATGAAGTTTTATGAGTACGTTTAGTCTAGTTTGAGGTGGAACAGTGTGATAAGGACATCCAGGCGGAGACTCATAGGCGTTGTGCCTTAAAGCGGCCTGCATTTTTACCATATTAGGAGTTAGGCAGCAATGAGGCACAAAAGGTTCGATTTCATTGTGCATGGAATCTTTTCTTCGCTTGAATTCACACCTGTTGCCGCTCTATTCGAGAAAAGCCTCACAAAAGAAGTTCTTCACAGGATTGAGCGTACGGTGGGTGGGATCAGTACGGTAGATCAAACGGTTGTGTTTTCATCCTTGTCCATCCATGTATTGGACAATCTGTCCTCATTGATTTGTTAGAGCTCACACCGAAGGATTAGGGTGCTCTTCTTTTTCTTCTTCTTATTTTCATTCTGTTCGAAAACGTTCGTCCTGTATTATTTGGTCATTCATAGGTAAGTTTATGCGAGGGGGGGGGGGACAATGGCATTCTCTGCTTCTCTCTGAGGTCTTTCACAGCTCGTTTTTTTTCGGTGAACGACAAAATTGTAACATATCTCGCATTAATCTGTTTTCACCAAAGGTTCGCTAACCGGCTTCAGCAACTGGTAGCATGTGTGACGGAGCTAGAGCCAGCAAGTCAGTCGAGGGCTCTGCTCATTGTTCTCAACACAACGAATCGACCAGATCGATGTCCAGCAGACCGCAGACTGGGATTCGCTTTCCAGTGACAATCGTCTTGATGCCGGTATTCATTCAAACATGAGCGAATTCGTATTGGGGATCCCGATCAGCTAGAATGTATCATGTTAGAGAGAAAGAGGTGCTCTTTCTGTTCGAGCTCTTACTGAATTGCGCGTGCAGAATTTCTCAAGCTCCAGGAGCAGGCTACCTTCTCAATAGTTGTACTTCGTTTCAAAAAATTTGGTCACGAGTTTTTGTGAAGGCGCCTACTAGCAGAACTGGCAACTTGCCAAAAGGACCGCGCACCAACGAGCTGCGCAGGCGGCAAGTCGATGAACCGATAATATCGGTAGTTTATACGGTTTGGTTTATTTTTTGTGTGTTCTTGATCATTTTGGACAACTGCACCATGGAAGTGCTTCTCAACAAAGAAGTAAAGCACGGCTTGATTTTCATCAAGAGTATATCCTAGACGCCCATCTGTCAGGGCACGTCCTCGTTGTGGAAATCATAACAGGGATCTATTTGACCGCAGAGGACGATGTCGTAAGGGCTCACTCAGAAGTGGGAAGAGGAGCAATTTTGAGATGAGGTACAAACACTGATTGAAATTTGTTTATTCATATTTTTTGCTGTAAAGAACACTTAAAGACAGAGGCAAGTTGCAAGCTCAGGAGTGGGGCAGTGACCGAAAATGCGGTGGCCACCCTTAACGACGACTGTGCCATGAATCAGTAAACGAACGAAACACAGTATATGCTCGAACTTTTCTTGAGCGTAGAAACACACTGCTAGCTCAAACGAGCCTTACCTGGGAGTCACCATAACTGCTACAACTTCATTTTCAGTGGTCGTGAGCCGTCAGTGGTCGTGGTCCGTGGTACAACAACATGTACACTACCGTAACCGCACGATAGGTGATTTGACTGGGGGACTCATTCCAATGAAGTTCTGAAAGTCGAGTCCTGAGACGAAGGCCTAACTAATCTTAAGCAGCGTTCAGAGTTCGCACGACGCGCATCGGTGTGCTACTATTGCATGAGTGCTTTAAAGCCATAGACGTGAATGCAGTCTCTGGAAGCCGGTACGACGATACCAGTCCAGTAGGTGACCAGCCAAAACCTACATCCCATTTCCCCGTGCTCTCTTGAAACATAAGCGGCTGCCCCCCCCCCCCAAGGGCACGCCATCGTTGTGATCAAACCAACGGGGGATCGTATTTGCCGAGGGAATCCTAAAAGCTAATTGAAGTTTGGAAGGAACCCCAGAAAAGAGTGCCTCATACAGTGAGCGGCTTAACACAGTTCAAACAACTGTCGCCTAAACCTACACCTGGAAAAAATGCCAGACTCTAAAACGATCGCATTTAAATTGTGGAATTGACTAGGGTGTCAAATAATTTGTTTTGTGCACACATACATGCAATCCTACGCGCAAACGTTCAAAAAAGCCGCGAAATTGTCATTTTGACTGCGGCTCCGTCAAAAATTCCAGTTTGCTGCTGCTCACTCGAACAATGAATGATAATGAATAATTTTGAATAACTAGTCAATCTACTAACTGAATATCGTCTTCTCCCCTTGTGATAGGTTACTGCGAGACAAGACGAGTATTGCAGACGAGGCAGGATACATAATTCTCGTTATAATTTAGAGAAATTTGGCTTTTCAACGGTACTAAATGTCCTTTTGATCTTCTATATATGCCTAATTTCATACTGGTTCCAGCATGGCTAAAGTGAGGCGCGGTTGATGGAGATGCCTACCTCGTGAGAGACCGCACAATATAAAATTCTACTATGCTCTACTAGAAAAAGCAATTCAGAAGCATAGTTTCTTTCAGAAGCATAGTTTCTATTTGAAGAGTGGAGCCTTCATATTGCCGCACTACGTGGATCTGGGAGAAAAATATGGACGAGTTCTGTGACGAGAAACGAACGAGCTCAAGTATCGTCTGAAAGGGGAAAGGCTCTCGCCGAATTCCGATCCGCACTCGGCTCGCAATGGCTTGACCACGTATATTCTCGTTTGCATTCTATGGTACGACTGAAACGTGATGGGCTATTTCAAATATGGTCAGTTTCGCAAAGAGAAACGATGGGTGCACGTTTCGTCTGGCAAATCGTAGGTACCTTTAAAATAGGTCGTATAGCGCACGAATATAGTTGTCAGTTTCATAGAGAACTTCGCTATCACTATGCTATTTGTCCTTTCCGTTTTTTCGGCTGCTCGCTGTTTGATATCGCTGTGGCATTTTTCTGGGGTGATATGCAGGAATTGTTCACATTAGGCAAAAAAAAGGATGGTCCAGACTGACTTCCTTAGCAGTTTTGATTAAACCAGGAGGTAACTGTTCTAGGAACGCGGCTAAACTCCGCACCCGGCTGTTACCACGCGCGCGCAAACTTGAATACAAACTGCAACAAGTATCTTTCTGCACGCGCAAATTTGAACACAAAACAGCATGTGCTGATGATTAGTTGTCATGACTTTTGGAAAGAGCAGGAACTATGTTTCTTGAGCTGTGAATATTTTAGTCATTTCAGGACTGACATTTATCAATCAGAATGAGGTGGAACTTTTGTAGCCTGTATTCTAGGCACCCTTGATGTCCTAGAACTGGTTTTTATATGAAAGAAACCTCGCACATCGTGCAGTGATACACAGCATACTCGAAATTACAATTACTCCGGAAATCAGCATGTGCCGATCATCCACAAGGAAACTAAGAAGCAACATGGCGAAAACGAAAACAAAAAGGGCACTATTGAACTATTCCTACCATAAAACCTCAAGAATTTTTTTTCGCCGAAACGTTGTCTATAGATGTAGTTCGATGCCCTGATCACGAATAGCGCATTCGTTTTGAGCGCTGGCGTCATTTGGCGGTCATGCGCCAATTTGGCGCCACCACTTCTCACCAAAGTCG